CCGCCGCCGGTTCAGCGGCTGCCCCAGCCAACCCCGGCCCCGCGGCGGGGGCGGCGGGTGCGAGCGCGAGCGCGCTGCGGGCGCTGAGGGCCAGCCAGCAGCGGGCGTAGTCATACTGCATTCGCAGGGGGCCGCCGCAGGGCAGGGCGTCCAGCTGCGGCGCCATCCTGTGAGAGGGCCAGCAGGGTGTTTGAGGCGTGGGTGACGACAGGGCACAGACACCAATACGTGTGCTGAAACCAGGAGTAGACGAGCCTATCATCCCTTGCTTGGCACACGCGCACACACAGACACACACACACACACACACACACACACACGCACGCACGCACGCACAAACACACACACACGCACACACACACACACACTGCGGAGCAGTTGCGCATCGGCGATTGCTGCATTTCCCCCGCCGCCAAAGCAATGGCTGCAGGACGGGCCACATAAACTGCAGGCAGGCTGTTTGGCACCAGAGGGACCGGTCAACACGCCAAGCTGTCCGTCGATACCCCACAACAGACATGCACACACAACACACACACTCACATGGAGTACACACAAACACCCTGACGAACACATGACAACACACACACACACACACACACACACACACACGCGTACACACACACGTACACACACATGTACACACACACGTACACACACACACACGCCACGCGCACACGCCCAGGCCACGCCACCTGTCCAGCAGGGCTTCCGCCTCGTCTGTCCTGTCCTGCAGTAGCAGGTACACGGCCAGCTGGGGGAGCCGAGGGGAGGGAGGGAGGGAGGGAGGAGGGGGCGCGGGGCTGGGACAAGAGAGTGCGGTGCAGGAGGGAAGTAGGTTACGCAACAATTCACATCGGGGGTGTAGAATGGGAGGAGTGGCAGTGTTGAGAAGTGGGAGAGGGCTGAGCGTGCTTTGGAGGCTGTAGGGCCGGTATGAAAGGAGGGGGGGGGTGGGTCATAAGGAAGCCCAGAGTGGTGACCTTTGCGGCAGGAGTGTCAAGCGGAGTGGTGCGCACCACATGCGGGGCCTCAGGCGTGGGAGGGGGCGGCGGCAAACCCTCCCGTGCAACACCGCTCGCCACGCCGGCTACGCTGCGCTGGGCCGGCGGGCGCGCACAAGAGCTGCATGTGCGGGGCCTTCTCGGCCGCATCACACCTGCAGCCCGGCGTGGGGCGTGAGGCTGGGGCCCAAAAACAGCTGCTGCGCCAGGAACGCCGCGTACTGCTCCCTGATCTGGGGGTTTTCGTCCATGACGGCGGGGGGGGGGCGGGGCCGCCGCCGGCGCCTTGGGGTGGGTGGATGGGTGTGGGTGTGGGGGTGTGAGCGGGAGGGCAGGGGATGTCAGAGAGGGCCGTTGCAGGGGCGGAAAACGGGTCCGGGTGCAGGGAGGAAATACGGGGCCCGGGAGATGCACAGGCAGGGGTCCTGCTGATGGGGACAATGGCAGCGCTCGGTGCAGCAGTGCACGACATCAACACGGCAAGGCAACAAGCAGCAAACAGCAAGCGCCGTACCTGCGACGAATGCCACACCCCAGCGCAGTGCGAGTCCTCACCCCATCCTGTCGACCCAAGACCAGCCAGCCTTTTGGCTCTGCAAACCTCACGCATGAGGACAAACCGTTGCAAACCACGCAGGCTCACCGTCCTCATCCGGGATTGGCCTGCAGTACGAGTTCACCCACGGGTAGTACTCCAGGTGCCGCACGTAACCCGCGTCACCCGCCACGTCGCCGACCGTCACCAGGGGCGCCACCAGGGGCACCCCCAGGTCGCGCACCAGGTCTGTCCCAGGCAGAAGCTGCCGCAGCGCCGCCTTGTGCCCGTGCTTCACCGCCCACTTCCAAATATCCTCGTCATACACGCCCCTCGATGACAGCGCGGCCACCGCGGCCGAGAAGAACCCGGCGTCACCGCAGTGACGGGTGACGAGTGACAGGGGGTCAGCCACCGACAGGTCGCCGGTCTCGAGGTAACGCAGGACCTCAGATGGAGGGGCGCGGCGAACGAATGCCTCCCAATCAAAAGGCGCCGCGCCGCGCGCCGCAACGCCGCCGTCGGCGGGGGCTGCTGCTTCGCCGGGCCCCTGGACGGTAAGCGGCCGCGGCGGCGCGGCCGGCAGCCACGCGGCGCGGCCGCCGCGGGTGACCGAGGGCGTGGGCTGGGCGAAGGTGCCGGGGCGGGGGAAGTAGAAGTGCATGGTGCTGACGTGGCAGCTGTAGGGGCCGAGGGTGATCTGATGAGCGAGGGTGGGGGGCTTGCCCTCAAGGGGCAGAGCGCCCTCTGGGATCTGCATTGTTTGGGGGTGGTTGACGGCGGTTGGCAAGGGAGGATTGCAGCAGAATTGTGTGGTTGATATGCCTGCTTGCTTGTATGATGGCGGACGGGTGCGCAGTCGAGCGGGTGCGAAGCGGGCGCCACTCCGGGGTTTTTCCTGGCGTGTGCTGCACGGATTGGGAGTTGAGAGCGGGTGTGGGCTCGCCTGCAGCAGCAGCTCGAGGCGGCGTGTGGCGCCCGTGGTTGATGTGACGACTATGTCGCGCGCGTAGGGGCGGCCCGCGACCAAGGGGCCCTCCACGCTCGCCTCCACCTGCGGCGCGGCGCGGCGCAGTGAGGTGCGGTGCGGTGTTTGGAGGGGGGCAAACATGAAACGATCATGGCGGGTGGGCGGTTGATCAGAACTGATGGACGGACGGTCTGGCACTAATTCACAAATGAAGGCAGGGAACAGAGCAGCAGCCAGGTGCTAGGCCACAAACTTTTGAAATGGCATGTGATCAGAAACAAAAACAAAACTAGCAAGCAAGGGACCAGCTGCCCACACGTGCGCGCGCGTTCACCCAATCTACGAAAACGCCAACCCTCTGGCTCCCTTTTCCGCGGCAAGCACGCACACACACATTGTGCAGCCGGCACGCCACACCCACCTCCTCCCCAGATTCTGGGTCCACTAGTGTCGGCCGCGCCGCCTCATACAGGCGCTCCGCCACCACCACGCCCACCACAACACCCCCGGCCCCGCCGTCCGTGTCTCCGCCGGCGACGCGCGCGGTCTGGCGCGCGTACACGAGGCACGGCACGTGCGCCGTAATCGCCGCGCCGCCGCCGCCGCCGCCGCCCGGCGCGGGCCCCCGGCTGAAGCCCCTGCCACCCCCTGGCGTCCTGCCGTCACCAGCCACGCCGCCATCTGTATCATCTGCAACCGGCTCCCCATCCATGCGCAGCCCCAGCACCGCCAGGGCGGCCAGGGCGGACGAGATGCTCTTGGGGGCGTCTGTGAGATCCTCTGGCAGGAAGGCGGGCGGAAGCTGCCTGGCCGGGGTCGCGCCGGCGGCGGCTGGCGGCTGCGGGGCGGCGGAAGCTGCCTCGGAAGCTGCTGCCAGGTGGTCTGCCCAGGCGGCCCAGAAGAAGGACTCTGTTCGGGAGGCCAGGGTGGGGTTTGCGAGGGTGGAGTTTGTGGAACTTTGGGGTGACAGGTGGCAATGGCCCAAGGTTGGGCGAAGAGAGGAGGGGACAGGCAGAGGCTGAGGATTTGGGTGCACGGGGCAGCCGGGAGCAGATGAACCGCAATTTGCATGTTGGTTTCAGAAGGGTTGGCACCCAGTAGCCATCAAAACAGCCGGCTGGGGAGGCTGCAAAGGGGGATGCTCACGCAAAAACTGAACCTCGGCGCCCCAAGCGTTTGCGAGAAGGCTTGAGCTGGGCCCCTCTCAGCCTCTCAAGGCAAAAGCCAGCGATCTCCCACCAACCCCTTGCATCCCCTTCGCCTCCCTGACCCACCCTCTATCGTCTCCGGCGGCGCCTGGCGTCCGTCCTGCTTCCACCACGCCGCCTCAGCCCACTCCTTCGTCTCTTTGGGCGCCACCCGCGCGCGCTTCGCCGCGCGCGCGGACTGCAGGACGCGGCCCTGCATGTCCCTCTGGGAGCGTGGGCGTGGTGAGGGCCACATTTGGGGCAAGAGGCCTCAGGGACCAATGTGGTGACATCACATGTATTTGGATTTGATGGGAATGGGCGGTCACGCAGCAGAGGCACTTTCACAGAGACGTTGAGGGAAGCTGATACAGGGGGTTGCCAGCAGGCCAAAGGGAGGGGGACCCAGTAGGCATGGAAGAGGTGTGTATGATGTGGAGCGCAGCCCGTTCGACCCTCCCACCTGCATCATGGTGGCCGGCGCCGCCGCCGCCATCATGACCGGCGCCGCCGCCGGCGGCGGCGGAAGCGGCGCCGCCATTGCGCTCATGGCTGCTGCCTCATGTTGGACCATCACGAAATCCAAGTCCTCTTCCGCCGCCCCCCCGCCGCACCACCTGCCGCCGGGCGCGGGCCCCTCCCCGCCCTCCGTGCCCGCGCCGTCGCTATCCTCGTCGGCGGCCGCCTCGTCAGCATCGCCGTCTCCGCTCCCGGCGTTGTCGCAGGCGAGGGCCGCCTCGAACAGGGGGCGCCGCTCGGGCTGCAGCCTGCGGGGTCGTTTGGGGTGGGAGGGGGGGCGTGCATGGTGTTGCAATCTCGACGTTGCAATCTATTACAGGATCCAATAACGCGTGACTCAAAGTGTTTGTGCTCGACAGTTTCATTGACAAGAGTTGGGAGCAAATTGGAAGAACACGTGGCGCGATGCCCACAGCGCTACTCACCACGACCGCTGCAGGCGCTCCTGCGGTGTCTCCAGGCGGTGGCGCATGTCCCGCGCCAGAACCCTCAGCGCCGCGGGCCCGCGCGCCGCCGCCACCAGCACCTGCAGAGCAGCCAGGCGGGCTCCCTCAGGCATGTATGTCAACCACCTCGGCTGCATCGTGACACGCCACGCCCGTATGTGCATTTGCAGGCGCCTGCTCGAACAACCGCGCGGCGCGGAGGCCGCCCCGCAACGGTGCCAGCTGCAGAAAGGCACAGCTCACGCCCAATGGATTGCTTCCAAACCACCCATCAAAGAAGATGCATTTGAAAGCAAGGACAGGGCGCGCATCCCTCAATCATAACGCCCCGCCCACCTTCTCCAGAGCGTTCAGCCCGCAGTACCTCGCAGGCGCCGACCACCGCTCCACAAACGCTGCCGCAGCCGCCAGGTAGGCTGCAGGCCCCTCTGCCCCCGGCCCTGCGGCCGCCGCGGCACTGTAATCCGCCCCAGCCGCCGCCGCTGCCGCTGCCGCTGCTGTTGCTGTTGCAGCCACTGCGGCCGGCGCAAGGAACAAGTTTGGGAGGCGGCTGTGGCCGCCCTGGAGCAGTAGCCACTCGGCGATGCACGAGTGGGAGCAGGGCAGGCGGGCGCGGAGCATGGGCAGGGCGGCCTGCGGGAGGGGATGTCGGCAGCGAGAGGTCGGCCATCAGCACGGGCAATAACATTTCATCTATTGACAAAAGCATCGCACTTACAGCAAGCACGCAAATCCATGGTTTTAGCCCTGCCATAGCACAGTTGCCATCAGCATGATCCGTTGGCGAATGCCACCCGCCTGCATGAAGAAATCCGGATCCCTCAGCGCCAGGAAGAACAGCAGCTCGTGGCAGCACTCCGCCGACAGCTTCTCCCGCCGCGCCGCGGGCGCCAGGCTGTGCCAGCCCGCCAGCCACCCCCACTCGCGCCACAGGGCGGGGCCGTGGGGCACCTGGGGAGGGCCCACAAGGGCCGCGCCGGATGAGGGGGGCCAAGTCATGACAGGAGGGCAAAGGCCTCAAGAGGCAGAACAGCGACCGACCGCGGCGGGGTACCGCCAGTCACGCAGGCGCGCGCTTTTGATCGTGTGCGGCACACCGGAGCACTCGCCCGCTGCACACGCACCCATGCCTCACGTCCTCACACGCCTGTGCACACAGGTAAAAATTGCATTGTGATACGCTTGTGCGATACGATGTCCATGCATTGCATATTCATGACACACACTTGAGAGCAGTGTTTGATGTATGTGTGCGTCGGCGCGAGCACCTGCCCTGGTGGGATCACGCAGCCCGCGCACCTCGCAGGGCGCGCCGCCCTCCTGGCCCATCAGCGCCCCAAACAGCAGCACCGCCTTATCCAGGGTGGCGTAAACGTTGACTAACGACGACGAGGGGTCGGCGATCGCGAGCGACTCGCCGGGCTGTAGGGCGGTAACCGACAGCGCCTGCAGGCACGTGTGTGAGCGCAGGGGTGCGGGGGTGCGACATCCCGTACGTGATGGACTGGGGCTGCAGCAACGAATTCAAGGGCACAGAATCCTACGGATAGAATCCAGGGCTCAACGGGGAAGCGGAGATGACCTGTCGCAACCATACCCAGGAAATCAAAGAAGATGCAGGAAGATAAGCGGTGGTGGTGCAGTCCAGGGTTTGGCGGGCGCGAGAAAGCCTGCGTCATGACCGGGCCCGCCTACCTGCGCGCAGACGGCCCCTGGCTCTGGCGCCGGCCGGCCCAACCCGACGTCTCGCGCCACCGCCTGCCAGCCCTCCTCCTCCTCCTCCTCCTGTTGCCCGTCGCCGCCCTCGGCGGTTTCCACAGCCACGCGCAAAACGGACGTGTGCGCGGGCACGGAAGGGCACCACGCCGCCACCGTCGCAGCCGCGAACCCGTGGCGCGCCAGCAAGCTGCCCGCGCCGCCGCCGCCGCCGCCGCCGCGGCCGACACCGAGCGCGCTCGCCAGCAACAACTCGAGTTGGTTGGGCCCGACCACCGCCCTGCCGTCAATCTCCCCGCCGCTGATGTCATCATCGTCGTCGATGACGTCACCGCCCTCGTCCGGCACCACCGCGCCAGGTAGCACCACCATCACCGCGCCGCGGCAAAAGCCGAGGCCGGGGGTGTCCGTGGCATCGCCGGCCCTCCAGCTTGGCGGCGGCGGGGCCATGCGGCCGCCAAACCCACCGTCTGAGCCGGCAAAGACGGTGGCGGCGTACGGCTTGGCTTGCTTTTTATACTTTTGCAACATTGTTGGCGCGTGCTGCTGTTGCTGCTGGAGTTGCTGATGTGGCGCGCACGCAAAGGCCATTGCGGCCTGGGGCTCGGGGGGCCGCTGGAAGCGCCCGCCGTCGCCGCCGCGCAGGACGCGGCGCTTGGAGGGCGCCGCGGCGCGGGCGGCCTGCGGGCGGACGGGTGGTTGCGATGCAGACACGGGGGGCGGAATGCCCTTGGTGGGCGGGGACGCGCGACAGACTCCACCAAAGCGATTTTGAAGACCAGAGCTGTCGATTGCATCGGGCGTGATCGGCGGGAAGGCAAATGGATGACTCCAGGCGCACTGCCTGTGCCAGCCCTTCGTCGGCCCTTGACTGCAACCGCTCCCCCTTCCTGAAGGCGTCCCCTGCGCTTTCCCAACCCTTGCACTCTCTCCCACCCGCCCCACTCCGACGACCGCCCCCCTCACCCACTCTCCCCCACCCACCAAACAGCCGTCCCCCGTCGCACGCCCCAACACCACTACGA